CATTGGTGTCAGAAGTGGTATAATTGTGAATATTAAAATCCCATACTTTGATTGGATAGAAATTAAAAACAAATATTTTAAGATTCATAATTTTTTTTTACCCAATTTGAACATTTTTTTGTAAAAGATAAAAAAAAATGTCCCAAAATAACAGCAACTTAGAAGACTTTGGAGAAATAGTTTTTAATCCCAGATCTTGTTTGGGATCACCCAGGTTATCCAGAGATGACCATGTTCTATCTTTCCCCTAAACAAGCATCAGTGACCCATCAGTCTGAAAACATAAATGAGCAATTGTTAAATGCAATGCATAATATGACAAAAGAATTTTTATGCATTAGACATGAAGTTGGGCAACAAAAAAGTGAAGTGAGAGATGAATCCCAAAGATTGTGGTTAGAAATAATCAAACTCAAACAAAAAGATGAAATAAATAGAAAAACCACTTCCCAATCTATGAATGGGTATGGGGAATCTATTGTTCATCCAGATATGGGTATGCTCTGTGGAGCTAACAAAGGAAATTTCAGCCCCGTAACTACCCATGGGAACTCAGAACGTATAGATCAAAATGAAAATACTTGTGTTTTTACAAGGCTAGCTAATGTGGCACCTGCATCCAAATCTCCCATTAGCATAAAACCTCAAACTTTTGATGGGAGAGATGACTTTGACGAATACTTGCTACACTCCATAATTGGGACCATCAAACAAAATCTATATGCCTTGCGAGTAGCTTGACAGGTGGGGCTAGAGCAGTATTGACAGAGTTAAATGAATCCAAACGACATGATTTTGATTCACTAGTAAGGGCTTTAAATACCCGTTATGGATCTGTAGAACGGTCAGAAATGCACCGTGCTCAATAAAAGGGCTTGATAAGGGGAAACTATGAATTTATTCCCGAACTATCCCAATCAGTAAGTAAACTGACAAGAAGGGCATATTCAACAGCAGACCCAACTAGGACAAATGACTTGGCTCTGGATCACTTAATCAATGCTCTTACAGATTCTGACATGCGCCTGAGACCAAAAGATATTAAATAAATAAAGCCGAAATATTGGCAATCAGGTTCGAAACCCACAAACTTGCTGACGCCCAAAGTGCTTAATCAATTAACAATGTAAAAGTTACCCCAGAAAAAGAATCAGATATTGTTGGGGCTATTAAGAAAGCTATAGGAAATGACTTGCAAGATCTTACCAAAGAGATTCAAAATTTTGTGAAGTTCAATCAGGGGCAAGAACCATATTTCAATAATTCCCAAAATCTACCTTCCTATATTGGAAATAGACCCAATCATAGACGGGATAACAATGACAATCGTTCACGACAAAATTTCACCCACAATAGGAATCCAACAAACTACCACACGTCGGGTTCGGGGGTCGGAAGTCGACAGAGATATGGGGCAGACCCCAGGCAACGACATTAGAAAATAAAACAAAATTAAGTAAAGAGACTAGTTCAGCTAGACTCAATGAAAAATTTGAAACTGAAAACGAGACTCAAACTCCATTAAAGAATAATTCAAAGGAAATTATGATGAACGACATTATGAAAGTTAAAAATGATGAAATGTATGTAGTAGGGAAAATAGAAATCAAAGTGATACCCATGTTAGTGGATACTGGGGGCTAGTGTGAGCGTACAGGTAAAAATCTCACCAGAGGATAAACCCAAAACTGCATTTTCAATTCCGGGGGGTGGTCATTGGCAATTCCTAAACATGCCGTTTGCGCTTTGCAACGGCTGAGGCCACATTTGAAAGACTTATGGAAAAGGTTTTATCTATCTTGTCATGGAAAATTTGCTTAGTATATCTAGACGATATCATTATTTTTTTCAAAACTTTTGAAGAGCACATTGACAACTTGAGACAAGTTTTCACCCGACTAAAATAAGCTAACTTAAAAATGAGTCCAAAGAAATGTATATTTTTACAAAAGGAAGTTTCATTCCTTGGAAATATTGTAAATGAATATGGGATATCTACTGACCCATCAAAGATTGACACAGTTAAAAACTGGTTAGTCCCAAAAATGTTAGGGAAGTGAGAAGTTTCCTATGACTTTGTTCCTATTAAAGGAAATTTGTACATAAATTTGCAGATATTGCCAAACCGTTGCAGTAAGTCGACAGAATCCCAAAAAAATTCTTATAGGAACCCAATTGTCAAGAGGCATTCGACACATTTAAGAAAGCTCTTATTAGCACTGACATCTTAGCATTCCAAAAGAATGAAGGCCTGCTCTCCATCCTTGACACAGACGCCTCCAAAACGGTTTTAGGGGCAGTCCTTTCCTAAGAACAAGATGGGGTTGTCAAGGTCATAAGCTACTTTAGTAAAACTTTTAGTGCAATTGAACGACGCTACTGTGTCACGAGAAGAGAACTATTAGCTTTTGTCAAATCAATAAAACATTTCCATCACGATTTATATGGAAAACCTTTCAGAGTGAGAACTTACAATGGCTCACTCACATGGCTTTTGAACTTTAAAAACCCAGAAGGTCAGCTAGCCCGATGTTTCGAATTACTGTCTTCATATGACTTTAGATTGAACATCGAGCAGGTCGATCACATAGCAGTGCGGATGCCCTATCCCTTGTAGATCTTGTGTCGATCAAAATTGCAAACATTGCATGAGAGCTGAAACAAAATACGGGGTTAGTAATAATTGACTAAGTTAGTACTTAACAAGTTAGAACCATACCTGAATCATGCCAGGTTGTCACTCGCTCTGGAAATCATGAAACTACTTTACCATCTACTTCTCAAGATCCTATAAAAGAATTATCACTTCAAAATAAGAGTTTAGAACAGATACAAGAGAATGACCCAGGTATTAAAAAGGTTATAGAATGGGTAAAATTCCAATATACCTAACTGGGAAACTATATCAAATTTGAGTGAAATATGCACATATTACTGTGTTAGCTTCGATTCCCTCAAATGGCAAGATAACATTCATTATCATAAATGGGAACACGTTACCCAAAAATTGCAAGTAATTTTTCCCAGTTCATTTGCTAAAGAAGTTTTGGAAGAAATCCACAATGGCATCACTGGGGACATCTGGGTTACAAAAAGACATTATCAAAAGCTCGAGACAAATATTTTTGGTACAAAATGTCTCATGACATTCGACATTACTGTCAAACTTGTGACATTTGTGCTTCAAGAAAATCTCCCAATAAGTTGCCAAAAACTCCCTTACAAATTTATAATGATGGGGTACCAATGGAACGCTGGGCATTAGACATATTGGGACCACTACCCATTACCCATAAGAAAAACTCATATCTGCTAGTTATAGGAGACTACTTTACAAAATGGGTTGAAGCAATCCCTATGAAAAATAAAAAGGCTACTACAACATCCCAGAAGTTATTGGAATATATAATACCTATCTTTGGAGATCCAATGCAATTACACTCTGATTAAGGTAAGATGTTTGAGTCTACTATATATATTCCAAGAATTGTGTAAACTACTGGGAATAGAGAAGACCCGAACTTCACCTTACAGACCCCAATCTGAACGGGATGATTGAAAGGGCTAATAGTACAATTGAAAATATGTTGTCAGCTTTTGTTGATAAAGATCAGAAAAATTGGGATGAGTTAGTACCTTTACTTTTGTTGACGTATAAATCCTCAGTACATGAATCCAGAGGGGTGAGCTCAAATGAAATGTTCTTTGGCTTGAGAGTTGCACTCCCTATTGACTTGGTACTTTGGAGACCTGACCCTGAAAAGAAGCAACATTTCGGAATATATACAAAATTGATCGGAGAAAATGAACAAAATTTACAATTTTGCCAAGGAAAATATTAAATTAAATTCCCAGATGATGATAAGAGAGTATTATAAAAAAAATCCAACACAATCCCTATAAAATAGGCGATGCAGTAGGGGTACACTTTCCGAACCAAAATCTGGGTTTAAAACGAAAGCTATCCAGGCATTGGGCAGGACCATTTAGAATCAAGAGAAAATTAATGACGTTCTCTACAAAATTCAAAAGCACCCTAGACATAAAGGGGATGTAATTCACCATAATAGATTAAAAATCTACAATGGAATAAATATTCCCAAATGGTTTCAAGCATAAAAACTCTACACTTTGGTGTATATATACGTCTAATACAGTATACATACAGTATATAGATTGACATATTGTTCAAAATTTGATTGACATATAATTCAAATTTTGATTGACATGATTTTACTGTTATTATATTATTATTGCACATTTTATTACTATGACATGGTTCCAAGGGAACTAAAAAAAAAATTTATTTTTACAGATCCAGCGCTTCAAATGCCTTCTTTGGAATGGAAGGGAATTTACAAATCAGATACATGCTGAACGCCACTTGACTGCCACCCATTCCGGGTTTGGGTACCTATGCGTTATGTGTCATTACATGTTGGGTCGCAAAGACCAAACACGGGTGTAAGGGATACAACCTCCAACTTCTCAAGAGATCGAACATGAAGTATGGGGAAGAGGAACGCAAAGAATTTGCTGAATTCCAGAGGAAGAGATCGATCAACTCTTGTTGAGGCTTTCATGAAAGAAGTCATTCCCAACTTCAATCCCACCTCAGGAGCAAAAAGAACAATCTATATGGACACAGTGGTACTCACAAAGAAACAAGAAGTAAACAAAAAAGCGACAATGACCAGAGAATTCCAGCTCCTGGTCCAGTACCAAGTCCTAAACCTGTGGAACAGCCCCAGTCTCAGGCACAACCAACCGTATCCGCTACTTCTAATCCAAAGGCAAAGAAAACTTACAAATCCAAGTCAGTCGTATCTTCGGTATCATCATCATCATCATCTTCAACCTCAAATGCAGACTCTAGTTCCTAATCTACAAAGAAATCAGAAAATCCCATCAAAGATGTCCTTTCAATAAATGCCTCAGAAGAAGAAAGTTATGAAATTCAGGAATCTAAAGAAGTACCTACATATTCACAGACTAACCAAATGAAAATTAAACTTAACATACTCAAAGAACAACAAGTTGGCCGTGTAATCCTGAATGTGGGGAAAAGAAAATTCGAAACCAGCAGACGGACACTTACTAGCGACCCATCTTCATTACTAGCAGCCATGACTAATCGAAACTCACCGATCAAACCATCCAACGATACTTACTTTATAGACGAAAATCCTTGTTACTTTGATTTCGTGCTTGACTATCTAAAGTCACCCGGAGCGTTTCCTAATATCCCACCATCCGACTTCACAGTGTTGCGTCAGCTTTACGTGGAGGGAAAATTTTATAGTCTATCTGGGTTAGTATTAACAGTTGAGAAGAAGGGACAGTCAGAGCCTCTGTGGAAAGAAAACTAATGGGATAGATGTACACTGTTATATATTCTGAGTTGTGATAGATAAACACTGTGATATATTCTGAGTTGTGATAGAAAAAAACACAGTGATATATTCCAAGTTGTGATAGATAAACACAGTATGGTTTCCATACAAATTTTGCCCTGTGATTTTCTAAAAAATGAAACTGGTGTAAAAGTTGAAAACTCATGCTTTTTAAATAATTGAAATTCAATGCAGAAAAATCATACAAGTCATTTTTCTCACATGTGTTTTTAAATGCTAATTATGACGTCATAAACATGTGCATTTTCCCGTATTTTCTTAAAAAGTTGCAGAAGACACCAATTTTCAATGGAATTTTCTTTCAGATAACATTGTCCACAGGCATCGCCCACAAAGATCTTGAGATATGTGATTTGTTATTGAATTTTGCACAAAATATCAAAAAATTAACGTGGGCGACGGCTGTGGACACTGTTTTCTAAAGGAAAATCACCCTTGAAATGTGCCATTTTGAGGCTTTTTCTGTTGAAAATAGAGAAATGCTTCACATTAATGACGTCATATTTGCAGAATGGTAAACCTTCATGCCATATTCTTTCCTGATTTATCAGAGTCATTTATTTAACTAATATTTAAGCCAGTTTCAAAACTTTTTGATGTCATTACATTTTTAGGGCGCAATAAAGCTAAAACCAT